GACTTAAATATCCGATCGAAACGAATGTTATTTCAATATTTATTTATTTTTAAAGAAATACAAACAATGTCGATTAATTATACAAAATAGCAATTAAATTGTTTGCAGAGCAACTCTACTATGTTCTTAAAATAATCGATCGAGTACTTGTTTGCTGTGATTGAATTTATAATACTTGAATGTTTATCGATATTGTTCAACACTAAACCAATATTGCGCATAAAACAATGAAAAAAATATAAATTTACCGATCGACTTTTATTTTCATTAGCTTATGCACAAAAAAAAAAGAGTATTTTAGTGTTTAATTTTATGCTGCTTTTCAACTAACGTAAACAGTTTTGACAAAATGTGTCGCATTTGGTGGCTTGGCACATGGAATAGTAGCTTAAACACTGAGAATAAATTATAAACTCTGGCTCGTGTCGAAAACGATAAAAGTTTGACAGTTTAAAGGATTTCAACATAATTGGAACGATTTCAATTTCAAGAATATACCGAACTGTTAATTAAAATAGTTAAAAGAGCAACGCTTCCTCCTACGATGTGTACTTAACAAATTAAAACAATTTTTCAACTGCAGATTAAAAGCATTGAAAAAGTTTTTTTTAATGTTTACACATTAACATTGTCAAAATTTGGTCAAATTGTTTTATTAATTTCATCGAATTAAGCGAAATTAACCTCTTGTTTTTTTTTTTAGTAGCCAAAAGTGTGTAATTGATAGACTATTAATTATTTTTAATCATTTATGAAACAATTTCTTACATTATTCTGTAACGATTACAATTAATTTAATGAAAACTCGAAGTTAGCACGACAAAAATATCGTGCGGAATTAATAAACAAAGAAATGATTAGAAAATGAAACCTGACGTTGTTTGTATTTGCCATTCATTGTCAGTAACCGTCTACTCCATAAAACAGACCTAGACGTTATATCATTTTTTACATATTTTTAACTCGCCCAAACACAGATACAGTTACAAGCGTTTCACACATACCCTTGTAAAATCGTGTACTTGCCGTTAAACGATGTTTATTAATTAATTTCTAAACATGTGGCCAAGCAATGAATACAGTCTGTGTTGACTTTAGTACTAAACCCGATTTGTCGCCCACTACATCAGCGGCTTTATAATACTACTGTATCATAAACAGTCACCTAGAGGTTTTATTATTATTATACAGTGTAGACCTTATACAGAGCAATATTCATACAATTAAAACGTAATATAACAAAAAACTATCGGTAGACCGAAATAGTTTCAAAACAAAAAAGATTTTAATGCAGTTTTGTTTATTTTGGGTATCCAAAATATGGAAAAATATTTTTTAGGCAGATCATAGAAAATAATTAAAAAATATTTTATGTAGTTTGAGCAAACTCCACGATTTAAACAAATGGTAAAACAATTTCCAGACATTTTTAATGATACTTCACATATCAAAAACCAATAATATGACCAACAAATATCTTATAAAATAATAATTGGGAAGACATTTTTTTGCTTATTTAAGTAGTATTTACTTATCGAATTTGAATGGTTAAATATTTTTTATATTTATCCCTTATAGAAGTGTCAGCTTTATTATTTGAAATAACTAAATACATAATTACTAGTTTATTTATTAGATGATGAAAAGAAAATGACTGGTTAATAGCAACTTTCTGAATATTTTTATATCTGATTGAGAAGAGTAGCGCGGCAGAATAATGATAAAGAAATATAACCTGTACCTCCTCTCTAGGCAACATTTAAAAATGTTAATAAATTTCGAAATATTTGTCTAAAAGTTATTACCTCTCAGTCGTTTTCGTCATTTAGATCATTATCTAATAATTAGACTAGTTAACTATGTATGTTTTTATTAAAAAAATATGATTTACACCTTTATAATATATAAGGGTGAACATGTAAAATATTTAACCACTGAAATTTGAGCAATAAATAGTATAAAACAAATAACATATTTTTTTTTCAAAATTATTATTATTTTAAAAGGAATTTGGTGGTCAACAATAATTCGATCGTCCAGTATTTTGTTCCAAAATAGATTTTAAATTATATTCATGAAGTTATCTATTAAATTTATTAATTTGTTAAGTAAAAAAATAAAACCTTAAAGCAATAATTTCAAATATGAACGTTTGTCATTGTGCACAATGTTCGATGACGTCATTGACTTGTTTTATTGTTAACAACCAGTGAATAACGTCACAATGTTGAGGTTTTGCCAATTGGTCAATGCATTTTTTATCGAGTGCGCGAAGTTGCATCTACAAAGTGTCTGTTTATAAAATTTTATGGCTCGCGTATCAAATTCTACAAAAAAAAAATACCAACATTGAAAGACCAGTGTTTTAGCGATAAAACTAAAAATTGTATTTTTTCGTACATGCAGATATTACGAATTTCATGAAATTAAATAATCTTAATATTTCAAAGATATATTATTATTATATTTAACAAAATATTGCTATATACATTTGCACTATTAATTATTTATTAATGTATAATTGCGAGAAATAATTAATTTTTATGACATTAAGCGTACTATACCTAAAATTGTCAAGAGATTTTATGAAGATAAGTGGAAACCGATTATTAATTTTGGTATTTATTTGTCATGGTAAATATATTTCGATATCTAAACAAATATTTGTTTAGTTAAAATCCTGCAAGGCAATGATTTATTGATCATTTATTCTTGGCCATATATTTTTTTTTCTATGTAGAATTAAAAAAAATTTATGATTTTACGTTATCGCCTTAAAATTAATGCTATACAAATAATTGAACGAAAGTAGAATATGAAATGTTATAGCTTTATTATTATCCAAGTCTGAGGCCAAGTACCATCACAATTGATAAATGGCCCCCTCATCATAAATAAAGAAGAATAAGTTCAGTAAACCGATTACAACTGTGGTGATTTTACGAGGAGTAAAGCTAACGAAACTGCCATTTTCTTATATTTTCAGAAACTCAATTGATTTTTATTTGTTTTGGCGAAAAAAATTCCTGTCCCATACATCTCTTTTCAAATTATTTTTAAAGTCAATAAACTAACTTTTACATTTTACGGCAAATTGTACTTAATGCTTATTAGCACATTTGTGGTATTTGTTTAAGTAATGATGTGCACAAGATTATAATTATGCGCAGTCGACTGGAAAACATCACTACTAACGATGTTTTACATTTTTTTCCTCCAACTTTTAGCGATTTTTACCCATAGTCGAATCCAATAGTTTTTTACTTATTTTTTGAAATTCTATAGTAATAATACAATAATTATCCTGATAGCTATTAAACCGTTATGCAAAGTTGCACCGTGTAATGTTAGCACACGTATAATTTACTATACAGAAGTCAAAGGAAATCACAACACTACTAATTATTAGTGTTATGTAAATATTGGTGAATTTATTTGTTTCATGTTTATTTATTTGAAATTCGCACGATACAGTACCAATAACATATTTGTAAGTATTTAATTATTGCTGTCCATGCTTAAAAAAAAAAATTATAATTAAAAGTAGGTTTTTTTCTTATGTTTATAATATTTTAATTGGTGATCTTTTTAAATAAAAGCAAAATTTCATATTTATAGTTTAGATAAAATTATTATGGTAACATACAATATGATAAAGAATAAAAATTCTCGTCATCCAGAGAAGTTATTACTTATGTGTCATCTAAAATTGACCCATCCAAATTCCTAGAGGTCGTTACCACCCTGCTGTGATATTCACATAATGTTAAGGATTATTTAAAATACATATTTTTTTGTGGCTAGCCAAAAGCATTTACAAAACTATCTTACAATACTTGGTGACTATCAAAACGAAGGAGCTCGTTATTATCTTTACGTCTGATAGTACATTGAAATTTATATATTATCACTATTATACTGATGGCGAAGGGAAGTGTATAAGCAAACGTGGTATCTTCAAATAGTATATTTTGGGTAGTTTGTAACTTCTAACTCGTATAACTTAAACAATTATATTTATAGGAGATGAATAGATATCACAATGTTGTTCTTACTTCAATAATTTATATCCAGAATTATTATTAATTAAATATACTTAATTATCAAATTTCTTTCTGTACCAAGTTGATCATAAGATTTAAACTAAATTAAAACAGTTTAAAATAGAGTGGTATTTTTTTTATTTTTATACGAGACACGTGTCATTTTTATTAACGTGTATAACATGCATAATAAAATAAAAAAGAAGAATTAATCTAATGTTATAAAAATTCAGAAGAAAATGAAAAACTTTCAGTTTTGTAAACAATTTTAGTTTGTTATTAATTATGCAAGTTGGGAAAACAATTTTTAAATGATTTAAAAAGGAACCATCATTACCTCAAAGTGATAGGAAATATTGTATAGATAATGATAAAAAAATGAATTAATTAGATTACTCAAGTACTATAATGTAACTCTATTAGTTAAATATAAAGCAGATATAACGATGGCTAAGAAAAAAATTAATTTTTCTAAAATAGTTTGCCACTACACACAATATCAGATTTTTTTGAAAAAACATAAAATGTCTTTTATATTAATTAATAGATCTATAGTTCAGTAATAGAAGCAATAAATATTGCAATAGTTAACACTGTAATTTACTTTGTATTAATTATAATTTGTATTACTATTTTTAAATTTCATTATATTTTTTATCATTTAACGTAATGTTGAGCTCAATAATAAAATTTTTTAATGTGTCACGTGTTTTAAAATTTTTTAAACTATTCGTTTTCTGTTATTTTTTAAACACTTTTTATCGTTTTTAATGCCTGGATAGAAATTGTTATATAACTTTTTACAATAAATAGCTCATTGGTGACTAGGCACTACATATGTGTTTGATGTTATTTACTTAATATTATTAATAAAATATTATCGGTGTTGTAATGACCATATTGTTTATATTATTATTTTTAATGTCAATTACTTATGGCTTATAATGGTAGAAACTTGTTTAATTAAATAATGAGTGAAAATCCTTTTTTCTAATATTTTATAACAGTATTATTTTATTTTAATTGTACTGAATACACAACTATGTACAAATACAGGTACATCTAATATTCATTGACATAATTCAATATTATTAATATTATTTTTGTTTTCACTGCTATTATTCAAACCATTTGTTGAATTCACTTTCTTTAAAATAATTAATAACTCTGAAGTTTATTATTCCTAACTTAGATATATATGTTTGGTAGTAGTCACTTAATTGATCGTAGCATTCGTTTCTAACGTTAGTATAAATGTTTAATTTTATATCACCTTCTTTTGATTTTTGATGTAAAATTGGATCAAATGTGCCGTATTTTTTCAACAATTCCTCGAGCTCCAAAAACAATTTGTCTATTAATTTGTAAAACACCCTGACTTCTTTTACTTTATAATCAACAAATATTTTAGTTATATTGCTATAAAATGGATCATTCAAAATGTCCATATAACGTAACATTGATTTTATTATAACAGAAGGTTTTTCAAAATAATAATAGATATCATTTCTAATTTTTTCTTTTGTGAACTTATTACCCCTTGGTCTTTCATTAACAGATTCCATAATTATCAAATAATTCGTCACATGTCTCGCCGTATAATATAGCAACGCAATTTTCAGGACATCAGAAAGAACATCATAGTACTTTACAATCAAATATGGATTTGTTTTCCATTCCTTAAGTGATTCTTCATAATATTGGTATAATATTTCATTAATGGGTCTAAAATTTATGTTGTTTATGAGAGGAAGAAAATCGATTCTGTGGATTTTTCTTTTTAATAAATAATCATAAACTCTTACACTATTTTCGTACTTAAATAAAGGTAGCAAGTTTTCATTTTTATCTGACATTAGTTTTATTTTTTCTAATAATAGAACCGATTTATTCACATTTTTTTTTAGATCGTCTTCGTTGTTGACTTTGTTAGGCTCAAGATTATATAAGTATTTACATTCTTTGCACGACAAAACAAACTTGTTACAAGATATAACATCGTCTGTGGTGTTATTATAAAATTCACCCAAATTAATTTCACCTGTCTCGAGCGCATTTAGGTTCAAAAAATATGACCATAACCAATTGGATGGAATATCTTGTGCCATTATTATAACAGAAATCATTCGAGCCAAAGCACTTCTGTACATTTCCACATATTTAACATAATCGTCTGAAATATTAAACCTAAAATCTTTTAACTTAAACATATTAATTACATATTCTTTATTTCTAGCAAGTGGACCCATAATATTATGTATATTTTGTGTACGAAAGGTTCCTTCTGATATATCTATTAGATTCCTACTGCCTCTTTTTGTTATTCGACTAATTGAATCACATGGATCATTTTCATCATACAAAATTACAGAGATTTTATTACTAAATGTTATTGATTTTTTAGTATTAGTTTCTTTGACATGGTTTGCGCGAGAGTCTGTTACGATAGTGTACGGAAACATATCCAAGTTCATAGAAATTATTTGTGTTATGTAACTATAAATACACTTGAGGGCAATTTGCTTTGAATCGAATTTCCGATCCAATTCTGGAACTTTATGAATTTTATTCGAATTGATGAGTGGTACGATTTGCTTAAGTTCATCACTTGAAAAGCGTATTTTATTTTTTTCCCATGTTGGTATATTTTGTATTTGGCGGACAAATTCCTCTATATCCTTAAACAAATTAATAGATATGTATAAAAAGAAAGTAGATAAATTTCACCAACGTTTAAGCATATTTTAAAATACCATTTCACGAATGATATTTTAAATTCTATAATTTAGCACTATTTTTAATTAAAATTAAAAAAAAAGGCCTCTATTTTTATTTTGTATTAGTATATTATTTGATCGTGTATAAATTGTTATACTTTCCATTTTATAAATTTATCAAGAAAAAATTTAGTGTGATTTTCATGATATTTACATAAATTACAATACATTTGTTTTGCCTAAACGAAATTAAATTTTATATAATTTATACTCTGAAATTTTAATTTTTTTTACTATTTGCATTCAACTAAATTACCGATTATATTAAATTTTAGCTTCGATTCGAAGCTGAGATAGTATTGGTTTTAATATAATGTAGTTTCTAATTAAGTCTGTCTATGAAAATATTCAGCTCTCATCGGACCGATTTTATTAGATTATGCATCAAAAGAACCAAATTTTAATCTAGTTGAATCTATCATCGCCAAAAATTGGAAAAACTCCTTAATTTTAAAAATTGAAAAAATATCTCAAAATTATACGCTATACCGTAAAAAATGGTATTTTCAAAAAAATTGTTCTTAATTTTAAAAGTACTATAACATTTTTTTATATGAAATTGATTCTAATAAACTTTTAACAGAATATACTAGACACGATAAACTTTATTTTGGAAAACATTTTATAAAAATCAAATGAAACCTAAGTACAGGAAAAGTTTAAAAGTGGCCAAGCACGCCCATAAATTTTATCTTTATTATCAACTCTATATTTGTATAATCTGTATAAAAACTAAAAAAAATTTACATCAACATAAAAATAGAATAATATATTAAACTTGACTAATATTATTTTGATAGAAAAATATTTTAGTTTATTTAATAATTAAAAATAAAAGTTATTCATCATTTTTCTAATCAAAACCAATTTTCCCATGATAAATAAATTATAATTATTTAAATAATAGATATAACTATGCATATACAAACTAAAATCATTAATTATTATTTTTATGTAGTTATATTAATGTAAACACACTTTAGTAAGTATGATATAAGTAGTTATATAGATACACGATTTTCTAATGGCTGTTGTTAAAACAAAAATTAAAATAAAAATAAAAAATTGTATTAAATAAAATTCAACAGGTTTATTAAATTAATTAATTAATTAGTTATAAGTAATTGTAAAAAGTAGGTTTAATTGAAAAATTGTTCTTTATTACACCATCAAAAGATTTTGAGTTATTTTTGGAATTTTCAGGTGCGGATCTAAAATGTTTTAAGTAGGCACAAAAATTTCTAAGACATTAAAGAACAATTTTTCGGTAATTTATCACTTTTTTACTAGATTGCGATAGTTTAAAGAGCGAGGTTATAGATATATTATAAACAATATTGTTATATTTATATTTAAAATCAAATACCATATTGTAGAAGTTCAAACTTAAATGATTGGCTTTTATAAACACATCTGAGGTTTTGATAATTAATATTATTAGACAGAAAACATAATGATGTAATAAGACCATTTTTTCTATAATTTGTAATAGAGTAACTTAATTAATAAAAAAATTTATAAATAATGAAAAACTCTGACAATTTTTTTAAATTTAATTATTGCGTGTTATATAGACTCAATAATCGTTATCTTATATAGTAAATTTGAACAGGTAAATTCTCTATAAATTATTTGTTAAAAATTAAAAATTTGAACAGCTTTAAAAATAGAAAAAATGTATACTTTTTATAACCATTTTATTTTAAAATAATACTTGAACAATATTTTAGTTCCTAAAATTACATAGATACAAAGGGAGACGCGTAAACTTCACTATCAATTCATTTTATACATTTCCTATATGATTACTAACAATTATATTTGATTCTTTAAGAATACTATGATATGAATAATTTACAATTGGTATAAATAATAAATTAAAATATCTTATTGAGGCAATTTCATAACACACTTAAAGTAAAATAATATGTGATATTATAACATCAAACTATAGGGTAGTTTCCATTATTTTAAATAATTCCTTTTGTGTTTAATTAGTTAAAAATTAAAATTGGTCTTACAATCATCGACAAACTTGGTATGATGTTCTGGTTCATAATAAAATATCATAATGTCATACTCTCTCAGCTATAAAATTTTTAAACCGTTTAAAAGTAAGCGAATATTATTAATGTTTTTTTTTTAATTAATAAACGTTATTCATTGATTTATATAGAATAAATAATGATTTTGTCACTTTAATAGAAAAAGACACAATCATAGACTGTTTGGATGGTTAATTCCTACAAGGGAAACTAAGTTATACCAATCCTTAGGTTTTATTTTGTTCACTATGCAATTAAATGAACAGTCAGAATATAGTGCAGGTCGCAGACGTTCAAAAGCTCCTAAAAGCGGCAAAACTCTTAGTTTCCCAATAGATAAATATACATCCAAATAAAATTATACTTAATGTAATAGGATATGTTGTTATACATACCCTATAAGCATATTTTATGATTTAGAGTACTGTTATAATTTTCTCATAAACTGTACCTATACCCAGAGATTGAATTGGAAAAGAAACTGAATATAGGAGCGTGATTAAGAGAAGTTGGGAGCATATATCTCTTTCTAAACAATAAGAACTACATGATGCAAAACTATTTTTTTTTTTTTACATATGAAGGGAGTAGTAAAAAATGTCTTATGTATACTCTCTCTCAAAAAAAACCCTAACTATACCACTGGTTGGGAATATCTTGACAGTTTATTAAATACAACTAATATATTTCATTTTTTATAACATTATAAAAAAAAAAATTATTATTGTTTAATTTCGAATAAACTTTATGAAAAAAATTGTACAAATATTATTTTTGATTCACGTGACAATTTTTTTATGATCATAAGTAGTTCAAATAGTTGAATAGTTAAATAATGAATTAGCAGACATAAATAAAAATAATTAAGTAACTATTATGGTCATTAATTATATTGCTTCCGATGATATATCTAGAAAGACTATAAAAACCAAAAATTTACTTTTATTATTTGATAAATATAAAAATATGACCAAAAAACGGCAGTTTTATCAAATATAAGTATAATAAGATTTATGAGTTATACAAAAAAATACACTAGTAGGTACAATATTAAATTTATAGCACGTGACTTCACAATCCGTTTTGAAATTCACGTGTTTGAAAACAGTTTTTAGAATAATGTTTGCTATAGTCTTCTACTAAAGAATTATAAAAATGTTATCTATAGGTGATGGTTAAACATTGTTTACTTTGTTAAATCTACAACTATAATCAATAAGGAAGGGAATGTTGGGTGAAGCTAGATTATTTCAATATCTATGACTTAACTAACTGTCCTGTGATTATAAAAATAAAACCTAAAGTACCCTTGTTTGTGTTATATTGTATGATCAAATGTTTCTACTAAAATAACAATTAACTTGGCAATAATTTGTAATATTAGCAGAAGTACATGTAATTAGCTGATTGATAAAATGTTTCATCATTATCTTTTTCGATAAAAGAATTCAAATTTTCAACTGATTTTCATGATTTTTTTTTTTTGTTAACTAGCCTAAATGACAAACTATAGTTTAATATAAAATTTATTACTTAAAATCTAANTAGCCTAAATGACAAACTATAGTTTAATATAAAATTTATTACTTAAAATCTAATTTTTATTAATATAACAATGACCGAACGTTTACCACTTACTGGACTGTCATATGCCGTCGAATTTATTGTAACTTGTATGTAAACTTTTGAAAAATTAATGACTAGAATTTTATAAATTGTGTTTTTAAACAAAATTCTCAAATCCTACAACTAAATAATCCTATAACTGAATAGCTCCTGTATGAATTGGGAAATATTTTGAGAAATTAAAATATGTTTATTTGAATAAAAATTAATTATTTAGATGTTTCATGCATATTTTTATTATGTACCCTTTTTAGCCATATTAAAATGTTGTTTCTTATATTTTTTTATTTATAATATTATATTACTAAAATTAAGTAATTAAAAAAAAAAAAGTTAAAAATTTTATAAGAGTTTTGCATTTTCAAACGTTAACGTCCTCGCCTTGTTCATTATTTTTCTAATACTTGTACCAATCATTGCAATTGTTTTTTACAAACATGATACAATGTTTACCTTATTTTGACATTACCTCTTAAGTTTAATGAAGATAATATATTTTTCTGAGCAATTCTGTAAATATTTTTGTAATTTAAGACATCGCGAAATCATACCAAAATTACATTATTTTACCTAAGGCTAAATTATTGTTTCATATATAAGTTTTTATATTGTTTTAATTAATTAAATAAATAAATAAAAAATTAAATAATTTGAAATTTCAAAAAAATATATTTTATCAGTATGAATCTTATCAATAAATGATATATAATTTGTTTGATTTATTCTAGTCATTAATGGCCTATTAATCTCCATGATTGTCTATTGCTAATACTTCTCCAATGTCTAAAAGTCAAGATCATCTCTTACTCCTACGTTGTCTAAGGCGTCCTTTTTAGCCTTTTTTCACGAGCTTCTATACAAAGATTTCATACATAAACCTATCTCTTGCTCTCTACACATAACATATCCAAATAATTCTTCGAGTCATTAAAATTTACATTCAATATTCCATTTAATCTTCACTGATATTCATTGTTATCCGTGTTTATTTTGGGCTCATATTTTTTTAATCTTATTTGTCAATGTTCTATAAGCATACAACTAATGACTGACAAATGATTTTATTGGTATACTATTTAAATTAAGATTCATTGCATCGTAATTTATTTGCCTTTTGTTTTACTCATTAAAATAAAATATATCTATTAAATAATTTTTCATTAAAAATAATTCTTTTATTTTTAAAATTTTAAAAATTGAATAAATTACTTTATTAATATGAATTGTAATTAAAAAAATATTATATGCAAAGAAATTAACTAACTACCATTATGAAATCAAATACCATTTCATAATAATAATTAACTTTTTTCAATAAAATTTAAACTTCTATAAAAACTATTTAAAGATAATAAAATCAAAAACATGAACATATTCTAGTACCTGTAATTTACGATTGTCTAACAGTTATATTAATTAACTCTAAATACTATAATTGATTTTATAATTAAGAATTTCATTTATTTATTGCGAAAATAATTTAACTTATCTTCAATGGACTAAGTATACAAATTTGGTTCCAATGTGTAACACAAAAGATTATGAATCTTTTATGTTCTTTGAATTCGATTGAAATTAAAATTGAAAATTAAAGTAGTTTTTACAATAATTTATGATCATTGAACCAAATGGTTCTCGTATTACAACAAAAGATGATAATGTTATTTTTCATTATTATTTTGTCAAATTTTCAAAATATTCTAATGAAAAAAATCAATAGGAAGTCAGAGAAGCCTTTTATATTTAAATGACGTAACACAGCCGAATTTCTATATTTTACGCCATTAACCAATAACAGTCATATGGCTAACAAAATAGTAAGTATTTTTATTAGATTTAAAGGTATATTGGAAAATAATATAAAAATCATTAATTGATTCAAGTAGTTTGGAAAACTTTAAAAATGGTAATAGTATTTGAATATTTGCAAAAGGTTTGTTTAATTTTTGTATTTCATTTCGTTTGTTGTAATTATTTTGCTGCATTAATACTTTTGATATTTAATTGAACTTTTTTTTAAATAATAAATACAGTATCAGAAGGAGAATTATTATCATTTTTTGTATGCATTAATATTTTTTGCTTTTATGAATACACATCTAATACACGCCGTATATTAATACTCTATCGTACAGCTTAACTATGATAATTTTATTTCTTTATTTAGTATACTATAGAATTCGAAAATACGCTAAATATTCTAAAGTAAGCATATGAATATAAGCTGACAAATTGTGTTACTATTTTGCTATAAAATAAAGTAAAATCAAATATTACTACTCAAATATCGACTGTAAATAGTTAAAAATACAACAATTCGGCTATAATTGAACTGCTGTTTAAATAAAACATAAATATCAAGTTGAGTTCGGTAGTAAAGAGGTAGAAAATATTAGGAATATTACATTGATGGCAAATACATAATATTTGATGCATACGTCATATTTGAATAATTTGAATAGAGAGATTTTATTTTTCTATGGCTGCCATTGAATGTATCCTGTTGAATAGGAAAAAATGATGTCTAACAACAACCGCATTCCGTGCGGTTGCTCCTTTTTTTCATTTTGTGAACGGGCACCGGGTTGTCTATAAAACACCGTCGTTAAAGGAAATTCGGCCCATTAAATATCTTTTACAATATTGGCGAATTCATTTTCCATTTGGTTAGTTTGTTTTTATTGTTCATGTCCTCTGAGATTATTATAATAATGTCGAACAACCAGCACCGTACACTATCAGCTTAATCCGTTTTTGTTTTACCTTACATATGTCTATTGCGGTCCATATCTGTATCATCCTTTGTATATTTTACTTGTAGTTAAATGATGACCAAAGCAGATTTACCCAATCGTTAGTAGTTTAAAACTGCGGCAATAA